CAGATTGACACTCCCACCCAGTTTGGTGTCATCTGCAAATTCTCCCATTATGGACATTATGGACATATTATTATGGTTGTAACACAGGTACATTATGAACTGCAGGTGATCAAGTCTCTTTTTTTAATATAAATAAACAACAAATTAAAAGATTTTTGAATGGACGTGCAGAAATAAGATGAATACTGCCTATATGCAAAGAGGCAATCCATGAACTTCTGTTCAGTTGTAAACTTACATTGCGTTCTCTGTCTTGTAGTTCGATAGGAGGCTATAGGAACAAAAGACAACATCTTTCTAAAGATCAGGATTAGAACTGAGAGCCATAAGCTTGTTACAAACAGAGGATGGCTCTGCAGGAGACTTGAAAATAGCTTCTTTAACAACTTAGAGTAATTCAGCAGCTGGGCAAGGATGTAATTTACTCACGTTTTGAAAGTTGTGTGAGCAGTGCATGGTGATCTCATTCCCAGGAGTAAATTCTGAATTGAGAGGAGACCTTGTGTGAAATCTGTCTGAAGGGACTCTCTTTTGGGAACATTATACTGTAGTAAAGCTGACCCGTTTTCAGATATAAGATGCCCATGAATATACCTGGCTCATGGGAAATGCTTGAACTTACAATACCTATTTTCTTTTTGACATCCATGGTTGACTTTTTTTCTATTTTGTATTGGTGGAAATGAGACAGATGTTGCCCACTGTTGTTCTAGACAAGCAGCTTCAGCTGCTGAGATTTTATTCTCTTGGCTGAAATTGTAAGCTTTAATGAATGGTTTGAATTGTTGGTGATCTCTGTGCTGTTAGTGAAGTTAGTGAATATCTTCATGTTTTAAGGAAGTGCAATCTGGTAAGATTTCTTTAAATTCAAAGAATGCTTCTTTAAGAACTGTAATATAAAGTGAAGAAAGTTGTTTAAACCCAGTAAGTAATGTTTTTACTGCTAATATATCTTTAAATATGAATATCTGATAAATTGAGAAATAATTATTTCCTTTACATTATTAAGAACCATTTCATTTCTTTATATACAGATTCTGAAGCTTAACATATTTTGGCATTCCAGTGATACACAGTTAAGTTTTGCAACACAAAGAATGCATTTTATTACTGAATTGAGGAAAGAATATGTAGAAGTGTTTTTAAACCTGTGCTTACAAGGTACTGTTACCACTTGTAACTATTTTTACAGTAAAATAATATTGTTCTGTGAGCCACAAATTATGATATGATCCTATGAAATATTCTGTGATGGGAGAATTAGAATATTATGCAAAATGAGAGGATGTTGCCATTCTACATAGGATAAAATAAATATAAGCCTCCTGAAAATGGCAACTGATACAGTTCATATATTAAAACATCACATTGTGTGTACCAAAAAGTAAGATGTAAGTGTAATTTGAATGGGACATGATGAAAATGCTTTCCAGGTAAAACTTCATAAGAGTTTCTAGTTTCTGGTAACTTGGCTGTTACAATTATGTCTTCATATTTTAATTGGGGTTTTATATAAATATTTTTCATTTAACTCAAAGAACTAAGCAGTCCCTTTTTTTCTTTACATAGCAGATGGTACGTGAACAATACACTACAACAACACCAGGCACTAGCCTAGAGAGGCCGAAGAATGAATATGTCTACAAAATTGGAATTTATGGCTGGAGAAAGCGTTGCCTCTACCTGTTTGTTCTCCTCCTGCTTATCATCCTAGTTGTGAATTTTTCTTTGACAATTTGGATTCTTAAAGTGATGTGGTTTTCCCCAGTAAGTGTCCTCTTTAATTTTCCATTCTTTTCATATTCTCTTCTCTTCCCTGCCTCACCACTTCATTTATTTTGTATGTACATCAGCTTCTCTGTATGTAATAGATGGTTCTTTTTTCTTCCTTCTCAACTGTAATTTGTACTTCGGTTGAAAGTATATAAGAAATATCTGTCTTTGAACATAATTCCTGATCTGTAATTTCTGTATTGGTAAAAATCTTTAAAATACTGACGTTGTTGATACCTTATATTGAGGTGAATTCTAATCATTCTAAGACAATGTATTTTACTGTTCTCTCATAGTCTCTGCTCAGTTTATATTTTATAAATGCATTTACTGTAATTTTATCTCATACAGAATTCCTTAGCGTTAAAATATTGCTGGCAGTTGCTGGTTTTTCAGCTTCCTTCTCCTATTTATCATCATCTAAAATTTAACAATTTATTTGCCCAATGAATTACAGCTCAGAGGTAGTTATTGCTACTTCGTGTTTGAGGCTAAGCAGCTATATTATTCAGGAATAAATTTAATAACTTTCCACTGTCATATATTTTAATATTTATAATGTAATTTTGCATGTAGTAGATTAAAGGATAGCCTTCCGAAGTCTTCAAGATGTAGCTGTAGTCAGAATGCAATAAAATGCATCAGTGAATATTGAAGCTAGGCTAATTTGTTCCTAACATGCAGTCATGATAACACAGATTATTTGAATAGACTTGTTACAAGTAAAACAATAATAGTGAATTCCTACAGCTCTGCCCCTGCTACTGAAGAAAGTGTTATATTAAAGTTCCCATTATCTGTTGTTATTACGTCTCTGTCATTAAATAAGGCCATTTTATCCTTATAGAAGCATTTCCATACTCTTTCTCTCACTATAAAGTAGGTTAATTTTAAGTCCTATTTACTAGTACAGTTACTAGTGCTTGAATTCCGTCAAGTTTCTTCCCCCACATAAATTCTTTCCTGCACTGTTACTGTCATACAGATTACAATGCAGAACATCTTAGATCACATGTAATTTTTCTGTTATGCAGTTCACATGGAAGATGCACACTTAGTGACTGTACATCATGAATCACAGAGAACATGGACAACTTTAAATTGTTTTCTGTGTGGCTCAGGTTTATATTTTTAAGGAGTTTAAAAAATTCTTTTCTGGTAGTTTGGCTTCTTTATATGAAACTGGATATTTCTTCTCTAATACCAGTAAGGACTAAAAAAATAGCATCAGAAACTCCACTTCTAGGAAGTCCTGTCTCCTACTAGTTATCTGTGAGGAAGGCCTTGATCTGCTGAGGGGCAGTGTCCTTCTGCTTTGGCAACAAGAGCAGTGGAGTAACAGCTCAAGTAGTGCAGGGTTACATTCTTTCGCAGGGTGGACTATGAATGCCATGGTTATGAGGGGTTTCCTAATTCTCTGTTAAAGAGCCTGTATTCCTGACACACCCGGTTAAATAGTGACTTAGCTGTAATGCCTTCGTTCATTTGGGATAATTTTAGGGAAATATCTATATTTCAGCTAAATATCAGCTATAAGAACATTGTGCAAAATACACATGTATGTCACAATCCTCAGCAAAAGTTTGTGTGAGGTCATTAAGAACGGAGAATGTTTTTTGCTGGGTATTGTTTTAATAGAGTGTATCTGTCAAGGCAAGAAGTAACTCTGAAGATACCAGAAATATCATCCAGAGAAGCGCTGCTAGCCTCTAAGAAAAGTCTAAGAAAGACTATAAGCGTTAACTGCATGTTCAGTTTGGAAGTATAATTGAAACATCTCAGTCCTTTCCTTTGTCTAAGAAAAGACCGTTTGTAAAGAATGAGTGTAACAGACATAGAAATTATCAACACTATTATCAAACCCTTTTCCTGAAGGAATTAAGCATTTATGCCTCCAAGTTTTTGGTTATTGTTTGAAAAAGAGAGGTAACAATATATTCTCAGAAATAGATTTTTATGGTTCTTGAGTTCCAAGCTTGACAAGTATTAGCTATTTAGGAAATCAGTTGATTCATATATATCCTACTTATCCAATTAAACATTCCCATTTTTGGGAATAGTTTAAAAGTAATTGTGAAATATTATCCTATGCAGTCATCAGTTATTTGGCAAATATTACTCTGTCAGCTGTGATACCACTTTTTATATTTATTAATTGTGTGTTCTAGGTATATTATGTAGAGATTACACTACCTATTATGATTAATATTAATCACAGATATTGTATTTTTAGCTAATACATTAAAAGTATTTGGTCCTAGTTTAAAAAAAATACATTAAAATGTTATTCCTGTAAACAATATTGGAATATTAATAGCTAATAAAAATATTAACAACTGTTTCTCTAAAATAATACAAGAAACAAGTTGTATTCTTACTAAGGTTGATAAACAAATTTGGAAAAAACATAATAAACATTTTAAAAGGGTTTTTTATAGTACAGTTCTGAAGAGAGTTTATGCTTAAAGAAAACTTTAAACATGATTGTAGTATGTAGTTTTATTAGGAAAACAGTTTTGCAGTATAGTGCATAGGGCTGTTTGTGCTTTAGTGATTGATTGGCATAGTTCTATAGCACAGCCCTTTCATGAGCCCACTCAAAGCTGACAAAATTGTTATTTAGCCATCAAAGTTTATTTTATAGGATAAAAATTGTTTTCTTTTTCTGTAAAGCATCCTTAAATCTTTCATTAAATAATACCTTGCAGTATACAATAATCATGTGCTATGTCTGTTCATAGATCCAGATTAAAATAACAATGAAATTATGCACAGAGCTTCAACAAGGTCTGGCATATAATTAATCCATGCACACATCTCCTGTCTCAACCCAAAAAAACAGACAGTGTGATAAACTAGCAAACAAGGTAAGTTGATAAAGGAGAAGGTGAACCAGACATAGATATGCTGCAAAATGAATAAATTCTAATCTCCTTGTAGAAATTTGCAAGGATGATGAAAGACGAAGACTTCTCTACACTCCATTTTTTGAGAAGCCTTCAGCATTAAATGAACATGACTAAACTGAACAGAATTTCATTTCATTTCATAAAATCTAGACTAAAAGGGAACACAGAATATATTCTTTTTCTCATACTGCCCCAATTACCTAACATATGAGCATCCCTAAGTTGTGCAGATTGATTCACACGTATAAGATATGTCTCACTTTCTTTTTCTCTGCTGGAGTTCGGGGGGGCCAGGGTATCAAGTTTTTTCGGGAGGTGAGAGAAGACAGCTGTGGATTCATTATATTCAGTTATTTTAGAGAAGATAGAATCAAATAATTATGCCTTGAGCTTGGAGAATAAGGTGAAATAGAGTAATGTAAAATCTAGAATTAGTTTTGCATGAAGATTAGAAAGTTTGGAAAAAATGGAGGTGGTTTGGGTTTTTTTTTTCCCCTGGACATGACATATCAAAATTTTGCATGGAATGGCAATTCCAGATTTGTTTTTAACGTATTGAGGCTTTCTGAGAACTAAAGGGTACTGCTAGTCCTAAGAGTTTAGAAACCAAGAATCTTAAGGGATTTAAGGCTGCAACAGGGCAAGGATGTCAGAAGTTCCGTGAACAATTCTGAAGGGTCCAGTAGGTCTGAAAGAGGGGAATTTTAATGTCCCTGACATCTGCTGAAAGGACTAACATGGCAGGATAGAAGCAGTGAAGATTTCTAGAGGGTGTCAGGGATGACTTCTGGATGGGATAACTAAGGGTGGCACACAGCTGGATCTGCTATGTATGAGATCCCATGGGAGCCAGATCTGAAGGGTAAAGTTACTCAGGAAAGCTTGCTGGTTTTTAAGGACAGTATCCTCCAAATGCAGGAATGATCTATCTGATATTTAGGACGATAAGTAGCCTGGCTTAGCTAGACAGGTTACTTGTGACAGAGCTGCAATGCAAAAAGCAGTATAGAAGAGTTGGAAGCAAGGACAGGCTACAAAGAAGAAATTTAGAAACATTGTCTGGGCCAGGAAATGTGTCAAGCTTCCTGTGTCAGGAAAGCCAAAGCTTAGCTTTAGTTAAGACTTACAAGGAACAAAGGGCAAAAAGATGGGCTGCATCCATAGGTGCAGAGAGAACTGTCCAATTCTCTTGCGAAGTCACCCTCTGCCATGTTTGAAAGGTTATGGAGACTGGGAAGATCCTCAGTGACTGGGGGAATGCAAGTGTTGCACTTGTCTTCAAAAACAGAGGCCAAAGGGACAGTCTGGTGAATTATGGGCTACGCAGCCTCACTTCAGTCCCTGGGAAAATGGTGGAGCAAGTCCTCTTGGAAGACATTTCAAGGCCCATGAAGGAGAATAAGGTAATGGGGAACAGTCAGCATGGATTTACAAAGGGTGAATGATGCCTGACTAATGTGATTACCTTCTATGATAAAATGTCTGTAATTATAGACAATGGGAGGGCACAAGATGTCATCTACCTTCAGCAAGGCTTTTGACACTCTCCCACAATATTCTTGTACCCTAGTTAGGACATTACAGCCATGAAGGGCAGACAAACAGATAAGTGAAAAAAAAAAAACTGGCTGGGTGGTCAGGCTCTGAAGGTAGTTACTAATGTGTTGTACTCTACGTGGAGGCCAGTAATAAGTGTTGCAGGGGTTTGTCCTGGGACTGGTCCTTTTTAACAACTTTATCTATGACTTAGAAGAGGTGGCAGAATGTTGATGGTACCAATTTGGGGGTACCATTCAATAATTTCAAGGCTCAGGCTGACATTCAGAGGAGCCTAGACAGGCTGGAGGAATAGTCCAACCTTAGGAAATTAAGGAAGGACAAATGCAAAGTCCTGCTCCTGGAAAGGAAGAGCCCCTGGCACGAGCACAGGCTGATTCTGCCTGGCTGGGGGCAGCTCTGTGGACTAGGCCCTGGGGGCTGGTGGGCAGCGAGCTGACATGTTGGCATGAGCCAACAGTGACGCTGGCAGCAACGAAGGCCAAGAGCTTCCTGGGCTGTGTGAACAGTGGCAGAGGCAGAGACCAC